AGAAGGGTTGAAGCAATCGCATCTTTCAGATGATATATTGTTATTATCATCGTTTATTCATTGAAAGCACTCAATATTAGGGATCTGTACGGGCAAGATCTTTTTGCATGTGCGTAACCCTACTGAGGATGCTGGTCCGTGTCCGTCCGTGAATTTTTTTCGCTGCCCGTGCTTGTCCGTAAATTTTTTTCATATATGAGTAGTCCGTATATAAAAAATTTTGACTGAGAGTAGAAAATTCAGTATGCTCTTTTGACGTATACTTATTCTGATTATTGGCTCTAAAGTCTTCTAATTGTGCTTTTTTAAGCTGTACATTGACGGAGATATTATAGTTTTCTGAAAACAGAGCTCGTTTCTGTCTAGTAACTATTCCGTAACTAGGTTTACAAGCCAGTTCACAATGACTGAATTTCGCTAATATTTTTATCCTGTAGCGAGAGATCCGTGACTACTATTTGCATTAAGGACTAGACTACAAATGGTTCGTCTGAATTCGTATACCACCCAGTGGCGGAGCGACCGTTACACCCCCCCTGCTTTCAGATATTTCCTTGAAAATTTGCTCCGATTTGAGCCAAAAGTACGGAAAACTTACTCCGATTTTATGAAAGAATGGACTGAGTTTACTCCAATTTTGCCAAGCTTCTGTTTGCAATTTTTACGGTTTTTGTACAGATATTGGCTGTTTTCTCCAATTTCCGGCCATCTTTGCTACAAAAATGTGACAAAATCGGGAAAAGCTAGAACAAGGTGGAACACCTCCTTCTCAAGATGGACGGGTCCAAGTCCCTACTGAAGCATTAGTTGACAGCCTTGGACTGAGTGTTTTTTATCGAGTCCAGTTGGAGTCCAGTTAGGATCTATCATAATCAAGAATGAAATCAGTGTAATCTTAAATGTAATTGAATCGCTTTATATATGAGTCGCGCGATAGGAACAGTATTTGTAGATGCTATGAATACTCAAGAATTAGTAGAACGATGGTCCAAAAATAAATCTGGTCGTAGAATGTAGTATGTTGTTTTGTGAAGGATATGAAGGAACAGTGAAAAAATGCTGTTTTCTTCCTGTGTCTGCAAAGTGTGGAGGTAACGGATTATACAACTGTAAATCCAACATAAAAAAATGTCAAATTTTGTATTATTTCTTTTACTTTATCAAACTTGTCAGAACATATCTTTTTGAACTTACTCCGGTTTTTGAAACTACCACCCCCCCTCCCCTTGCTTTAACTTCTTCGCGCTGCCACTGATACCAACTTTAACATTTTGTTCTGAAATGAATCGGAAGTTCTTTTGTTTATAACTCATGTCACACTAAACTATTTCTGTGAGGTGGAATAATGTTGCTTTGAAGAGAATATTTGTAAAAGGTAAACGAAGAAAAATAAAAGGAGGAACAAGAAAATGAAAAGGAGAAAAAAGTGAAAATTATGTAAGAAAGGAAAAAGAAGTGCAACATAAAATTGAACAAAGTGGATGAGGAATATCCTATCGGTCAATATGATTCTTTCATAGGGAGTTTCGAATTGTTGTATTTTGGCTTGACGATCGATTGAATCGACGAACAGAACAGTGATAACTCGATGCATATCGACATTCATTTTGTGATTTAGTGCTTTCTTTGTTCGTCGATATATATATCCATGGTGTATTCATATATGTTCGCATGTTGTTCTTGTTCATTTCGTGATCCCATCTATGAACATCAAATGTCAGATGATGGGCCTGTAATCACTTTTTAACTCGTAAGCAGCAAGATTGAACAAGAACTTGATCGGTTTGGCTGATTTCAATACTGTATTAATCGGTGCGAACTGTTAAATAGATTATCTATGATGTCCATAGACGGGATCATGAGATGAACAAGAGCAACGTGCGAACATATATGAATACACTAATCGAGATGCAAAATGACTTTTGAGTTCAAATTCAACAATAATTGATCAAATTAATTTTCTTCGTTGGTCATCGATGGACAAAGAAAGCACTAAAGCTTTTCTTACATAATTTTCACTTTTTTCTCCTTTTCATTTTCTTGTTCCTCCTTTTATTTTTCTTCGTTAACCCTTTTTATATTTACTCTTTTCGGTTGCACTCTCTCTTTATCATTTGCGCCTATTGTAAATGCAGAGCTCTGATGAATGTTATCTTAATAGGGAGCACAAAACGCGTCGGTAATTATTTTCTGCATTTTAATTATTACAAAGTATATTAAAAATACTTCGATAATACGTCGAAACAGTTCTTTGGCAGGTTACCGAAAGTTGATTTCGGTAAAAGGTTTTTACAATTCAGTGCAGTTTTTGATACTCTTTCTAATAATAATAGAGAATACTTTTTACAGGAGAGATATTCGTTTTTAGAACAATTTTAGGTGTTCTTCTCCTGGATTCGATCTTCCGACCTTTTACGCTGTACTTCTCCAACTACGCATTTTCCCATTGCACTAAATTGTCCAAAAGAAAACTACGAGTTATGATGATACATTTGTATGAAGGCCGTACACTTATCTATATATTTAAATAGTCTTTACAAGTGATCACTCACATGTTACTAGCTATACTATACATAAATGTCGACACGACTGTGTACGACGGGTACTTTTACTAGCAACTGCTAGTGATAAAGCACCAAATGTATTCTAATAATAATACTTTTATTACAATCGACGAGTGGCACTTGAAAACCTTCCATTGGAAGAAATGTGGACTTTACTAAAGAAGTATTTCCTCTTCTTTAAAAAGACAGCATTTTTTCTCTGAGTGATGTTAACATCTAGTATTCTGGTACCGTATCTCACAACAGAGTATTATCGCATTTCCATAATTTATCATTCGCTTTTCTCCGGTTATCATCCCCCTAACGTTTCTTTTCAATATCTTTACAACAACCTGTATGACAGTTTAAAGTGTTTGTCGTAAATATCTAGAAGAACTCTCTGAAGCTGGAACATGCATTATTCCTACGTAAAAAGTGAGGGCTCAGTAGCAAGAAATTTTGTATACCTTCTTGAAAACATGGTTATGAAAGTGCATTTATCGCTCACAACGATTCTCAGTGGTCACTTTGCTATAACTAAGATAGGGGGCTTCCTTTCTTTTTAACAGGAAAAAAATTTCGTTAAAAAAAGTTCGACGTTATTTTCAGGTACATTTTTGGAGAAAAAAAGAAGTTTTAAAGGACTTAATTTTACTTTAAATTAAGGTTTGGTTTCACAGACATAACAAGAAAATTGAAGATGAATGATGTTTTGTACGTTTGACAAGTGAAAAAGGATGTGAAAAAAAATAATCTTTTTGTCATAACTTCATTTGGTTTCCGTAGTGTCATTATTCCTTACTGTCGTTTCATTAGTTTTATTATTCTCAATAATTGATTGAGTAGTCAAATTATGAAATTCTGCTGCGCCGAGTACTCGACCTAATTGGTGTTCTACAGAGTGATAAAAGCATTGTCCGTCGCCACAAACGTTAAAACATTTCATATTTTGTTTGGCTATATGTTTAGCTAGCTCAACCGATTCGTTGATTACAGTTTGTTTTCCTTGATCACGATGTTGCAACTTTTTACTAATCTAGATTTTTATCATTATTCGTGGTAAGTTTTTCGAGCTTTTTAACAAGTTTTTCGTCAGACTCGTCTAAATCAGATTTTGTTTTAAATTGAATATCATCATCATTATTCATTATTGTCGTTTCATTAGTTTTATTATTCTCAAGATAAATTAACGAATGGTAGTGTAAACCAACTTCATATCCCAAATAAATAATATGTTCACTGTTTCTACCTTGGATTGTATTGGTATTTCCATCACTACGTATAATTCTAATTTCTAGATTTAGAGCGTCGGCGATAGCTTGAATCATACAATTATCTGCCCATTCATTTTCTAAACTATTAATAAATTCATTCGGATCATCTATATCGGTTTGACACCCTATATAATGATCAATGTTGTTCAATATTTCGTTGATGCCGTGTTCGATAATTGGTTGAGTAGTCAAATTTTGAAATTCTGCGGCCCCGAGTACTCGATCTAACTGGTGTTCTACAGAATGATAAAAACATTGTCCATCCCCAGGAACGTTAAAACATTTCATATTTTGTTTGGCTACATGTTTAGCTAGCTCAGCCGATTCCTTGATTACAGATTGTTTTCCTTGATCGCGATGTTGCAATTTTTTTACTAATTTAGATTTTTTATCATCATTCATGGTAAGTTTTTCCAGCTTTTTAACAAGTTTTTCGTCAGACTCGTCTAAATCAGATTTTGTTTTAAATTGAATATCATCATCACTTTCGGTGTCAGACGTAAGAGTCCATTTCAAATTACTGTCCGGCTTGTGAAGCGATGTATGCCCATTAAGTTGGACGAGACAGACGAGAACAAAAAAGGAACGTCTATGAACACATGAAAGCAATATTTTTGTGACACTTTGTCTTACGTAGACGTGAGATATCAGCTTAAAAGAACCTTATCATACTCTCACATAAGATCGTTGGAGAAGGGAATATTCATGTGAGGGTCTGGTGACATGAGACTTCACATGGTATTCATGGAAAACGCCTAAACCGTCGTAGCTTTAAAAAAGTACTACTAAACTAATGTATTATGGGGTTAAGGTAAAAGTTTAAGTTAAGTTATTAAGTAAGTTATTCTTACTTTTACTAGTTGATGATGATTTTTTCATGTAATGCTTCTCACAATTTCAGTTCATCACTGAAATAGTTTTTCAAGTTCTCATCTATTTCTAGATACAGGTAGAGAAAATAAGTTACTTGCGCACAATTACCATGGACACTCTCTTAAGTTCTGACGTCGAAGCAATCGAATATTCTTGCCTGCTACTTTGTATAAGATACGATGGTTTTTCAAAGGATATTTCGTGTCGAAGTTTTGCGAAGTACAAAGGATATAGGACGAATGGTAGTATAGTAGAAAAATGGTGATACAGTTGTGATTGTTCAGATCTATAATCTGGCATTTTTGAAAGAAATTCTTTGAAAAATAGTTTGAACTTTTAAATAATTTTCTGCTTTTTTGATAAAAATCTTAGAAGCTGACCCAAACAAGGCGAAAAGCCAAGAAAGACAGAATAAGCACCAATTCTTGTATTTGTTAGACATACTTTCTGTATCATTCTAAGACAGGATTAAGGTGCTGAATGAATCAAAGATGTCATTCATAGTGAAGTCATTAAGAGTTAATTGATGTCGTGCTTCATGAATTTCTTGCGTTGTTGGTAGATTTGCCCTTAACCGTCCGTCCAAGCCTATAAAAACTCGATATCCTTTTTTCTGTTGAATAATTTCATCCGTTTTTATATTTAAGCGACGAGTGTACTGCTCTGCTAAAGTTTCTAGTATGGTTGNAGACAGGATTAAGGTGCTGAATGAATCAAAGATGTCATTCATAGTGAAGTCATTAAGAGTTAATTGATGTCGTGCTTCATGAATTTCTTGCGTTGTTGGTAGATTTGCCCTTAACCGTCCGTCCAAGCCTATAAAAACTCGATATCCTTTTTTCTGTTGAATAATTTCATCCGTTTTTATATTTAAGCGACGAGTGTACTGCTCTGCTAAAGTTTCTAGTATGGTTGAAGTTTTAGTCTTACTCTCTGGATGGAATGCTTTGCTAAATCCATTGAAACTTCTTTTGTTATCTATTCCATATTTTACATTATGATAACCCATCTTGAATTGTGTATTAAACGATGGATAACGAATAACTTCAGTGTGAACGACATGTTTGGATCCAATCCAAGTTTTAAACGTTGTTTCTCTTTCGTTTAAGTGTCTTACTTTCGTATCCAACTCATTATGTACATGTAACAGTGAAACGAATAGCGGTGTATGTCTAGCCATACTTCTAAGCGAATGCAATATGATTTGAACATAACCTACTTTGGGATGTTTAGCACGAGTTGGTTGCTTCTTGTTAGCCGAATAGCATGGCCTCAATGTGCCATGTTTTATATCAGATTTTCCTCCTAACGCATACAGTACTGCGTGTCTTGGATCATCCGCTGTTGAAATGTAGGGATTTCCACCTCGTAGTATCTTATAATGTTCCTCAGTACCCAATTCACTTTCTTGTCGAAACTCTTCGTAATTATTAACAAAACGTTGATAATGTCGCAACAATAAGTTTTTGTGACGTTTTCCTTTTCCATACGATGCGTTTTTTGTCTCTGGTTTAGTTTTTTCCATGAGCCTAAACTTGCCATTGATTGTTTGGATCGCTTCTCTCATTCGATGTCTTTTTTCAGTTGTATTCAATGTTTCACCTATTTTTAATTTAGCTTCGTCATACACTGCCGAACTATAAATTCCTCTTTGATTAAATATTCCATGTTGAATTTCATTTCGAACTTGGCGCCGTTTATCTTGTGTAAAGAATTGAGTGAAAAAATGTGTTCCACGATAATGTACTATGTATAACGGTGCATATTGCAACAGATCAATTTGTTTCCCTTCTTGCAATAAAAGATTTATTTCGTCAATTTTATTACGTATAGACTGGGCTTGAATATAAGGAACTCCAGCAATATCCTCTAAATCATGTGGATCTTGATCTGAATCACTGCTATAATCACTATCGCCATAGTTCCCTTTTAATTCTTGAACTGATATGGGCATCGTAAATGATTATGTAATTAATAGTCTTCTGTAAAGTACCTTTAACTAAAACAGTTTTCTTCACCTTCTTCTTTTATCTTTTTACTTAATAAGATTGTACTTGAAAATACACTTTTAATTAAAGGTATGAATGTTGATTTATTAAGTGAATTAATATCAGATACAAATGATCGTCATACATTTCTGTTAGCTAGACAGGAACTACTGTAAGTTTAAACAAACGATATTTTTCGTACTGCAATTGCACTGCGCACAAGTTTTCACTGTTTTGACAGACACTGCCACTTCTGCTACAGTCAAAAAATCCAGAAAACACATAAAACACTCGCGATTATTCAGGCGATTACTGCAAAGTTTCCGCTTAATTGGACAAGAACTGACCGAGATGGGGCTATCTGATTGGAAGCCAGATCGCACCTAAAAACTGTGTATTTTGCTGATTTTCTTTCATTGACCTCGATTTAACTCCAACAAGAGAAAAAGCTGTATCAAACGATATAGAGTGGTCGAAAATTTATGAATTCATGGTTTTAGCTCATATGTTTTGGCTGAGAGCGTGGGTCCGGACTCAAAACCGGATTTTCGGGGTCTTAGTAAGTTAAAACTAGTACTTGTACACAAGGTCAGAAAAATCTGAAAATATCAGGGTTTGTGGCGTAGACATTGGACTACTATATGACTAAATTAAATTTGATTGAGAAAGAAGAATTTTGAGTGAGAAGACACCTAATGAACGGAACCAGGTAGTGGTTTTCCAGAAACCTCCTGGAAAACTCCTAGAAAAATTTTCAAGTATTTTGATTCTAACATGAGAATCAGCGGATATCGCACTCATCCTCTTTCTAACGGTGAAAACTCAAACTTGATAGCTAGCAGCGTTGTGGAGTTATTCGACAAGCAACCGACTGCACTTTATTTTGAAATGGACAATTCAACATATATTTGTTTCAGCTAGTTACTGGTACAACAAGAATGTATGATGTTAGTAGTTTTTGTCGCTCTTGGGAATGTTAACAGTACGTCGTACAATCTTTGGATCGTCTGATGGATGAACTTCAAGTATGAGAACCGAGAACAAGCGACAAAGCATTAGGAGGTTATCAGATATTCAAGTAAGACAAACCTATAATCTCTTACTTCGCAACATTCGTGGAAAGGAATCTTGAAAGAATTCGAAGAAAAGACATTGTTCTTAACGACGGACGTTATGAAGTTTCATCACAAATATTTTGTTTGTCCTTATCTTTATTACATACTTTCGAGTGTCCTTCAAAGACTGCTGTGCACGCATTCAGAATAAATGTTCCTAATTTTCTTTTTACTGTGCATATACATAAATAGGCTCTCTTTTATCTCTCTTTTTATTGCATGAGATTCAAAAAATTCAAGAATTTCAATGTTCCAGTTTGTTCTATGGTTAGTAGCTAGACCTTGGTTAGCAATCCTTTAGGATCCAATACCTTGAAAAGCATCTTTATATTCTTGTTTTTGTTTTTCAGTTCTCGCTGTTTGTCGATTATAAGTGTTCGCAAATCCACAACAGTACTGTTGTTGTCGAAATACCCATGTCGACAAAATCGCCTAACTTTTGCAGATTAATCGCAATTTTTATTCAAAATGGTTGATTAATTGCGATCTTTCTGCTGGATTTCCATAGTGACAAGCCAAAAAAATGAGTCAAAATCGCTATTAATCTGCAAAAATTAGGCGATTTTGTCGACATGTATCATATTTCTACGCCACTTCGAGCTATACATCAGCTTCGATTG